TGAGGGAGAGGGAGAGGGAGGGAGGGGAGGGACAATGAGGGAGAGGGAGAGGGAGGGAGGGGAAGGAGAGAGGGAGTGGGAGGGAGGGAGGGGAGGGAGAGAGGGTCAATGAGGGAGGGGGGGAGGGAGAGAGGGACAATGAGGGAGAGGGAGGGGGAGGGAGAGAGGGACAATGAGGGAGATGGAGGGGGAGGGAGGAGAGAACTTAACTCTGAGGCTGGAGTGAGGTTTGTTCTCTCCCACCTGGTTCTCCACCTTTCTTCATCATCCTCCCTTCAAGGCCGGGTCCTGGTCTGCCCCCACAGCAGCTCTGTGCCCTTTACCACCCTTCCCCCCCCACCCAGGGCAGAGTGATGTTCATACCCTGTGCCAACACCAATTGGCTGGACATTGGCCCTGACCAGTGCCCGTGGCTCATGTTTGTTCTGATCCTGCAGCTCCTGGGAGGACAGGCAGGTAGTGAGATGCTTCAGTGCGCTGTACTGTGTGAGCAATGTCTCTGCCTGTCACTGCTGTGAATCGCCATCTCAATGTAGCTTCCTTTGGCCTAGTCACTGAGCAAACACCTTCACAAAGTGACTGAAGGAAAAACCTTCAGACTGACTTCAGTCTGATGCTTTATCACAGAGTTGTACAGGAAGAGGCCTTCCTATTCATTGAGCCTATACTTTCCCACCTAAAGAAATGTTGTCTCTCATCTATAAAACAGCATGAACCACAACACTATACCAGTTTTATTACCCCGTTAGTATGCTGGCCCCTGTTTGATAAGCCTGAGGGGGCAAGTATTTTTAATCACACTGCAATTGCATTGTCCTAATCTCCATCAAAATGATTTTTAAACAGTGACCGCTTGTTCTTTTCTTTCCCACAAGAGGAAACAGCCCCATCCATCCAATTGTATGTCCTTCAGGATCTTGTATGTTTCACTTCTCAGCAACATTTCATAAAACTGCATCAAAATATCTCAACTTTGATATTCAACCACATCCCCCTGCAAGCAGGCGATATCTCATTTGCATCTGGAATCACTTGCTGCCTGTGCAGACTAACTTTTTATGATTCATGCACCAAGAACCCCAGACCCCTCTGTATTTCAGAGCTCTGCAGACTATCTCTATTTTAATCATTTACATTTTTCTCTTCTTTCTGCTAAAATGGGCATGTTCACATTTCCCCTCCACTATACTCCATCTCCTTTTGAACCGCTGCAGTCCCCCTGCTGTGGGTTGACCCACAAAGTCCTTAGGGAGGGAATTCCAGGATTTTGACCCAGCTACAGCCAAGGGATGGGGATATATTTCCAGGTCAGGATGGTGAGTGGTTTGGATGGGAACTTGCAGAGGGGTGGTGTTCCCATGTTTGTGCTGCCCTTGTCCCTCTAGGTGGAAGTGGTGGTGGGTTTGGAAGGTGCTGTGTGAGGAGGTTTCTGTGAATTATCAGTGTGGGTTGTAAGGCCTTTGTGTAAAGACAGATTTTCTGTTGAACTCTGTGCAGGATGTTGGTCCCGGTGTGGAGAAACAGAGTTCCAGTGTTGGACAGATCATTGTGTTCCTTACGCTCAGAGATGTGATGGCCATGATGATTGTGGAGATTTCAGTGATGAGCAGAACTGTGTGTGTGGGCCTGGAGAGTTCCAGTGTCCTGATGACCTCTGCTTAAGGAGTGACCTGGTCTGTGATGGAACATCAGACTGTGACCCAGGAGTGGATGAACTTATCTGTGAAACTGAATGTAAGTATCCTGAGTCAAAGGGAAAGAAGCAACAAATAAGAATAATTAAATAATTGAATTAAAATAAAGGTGCAATGCAGAGAATGTGGAATGGTTCAGTCAGTCTGTTTCTATTAAACCATTAATGAGGGGTCTATTAAAACAGGTCCTCCCTCCATCCATACTAACTGTCTGTCTAATGATTCTGAATATAAACTCCAAACACTACCTCTCAGTTAGAATGTTAAATTTGGCCATGTTACGGTCGTTGTTTCCATGGGGATCCTTTATTCTCGCATCACTTATTAAACCTGCCTCAACACACATGACCAGATCCAAAACAGCCTGATCCTGGTTGGATCCACCACATAATGTTCTTGGAAACAGTCCCGAATGTATTCAACGAAAACTACCTCATGGCTTGTCCTGCTAATCTGGTTTATCCCAATCTGCAAGATTAAAGTCACACATATTTAATATGTTGCCTTTGTTACATGCTCTCATTTTCTCCCGGTTTACTCTCTGTCCCACTGTGTAGCTGATGGTAGGGACCATCCAGAGCTCTGTGACCAGTGTCTTCTTCCTCCTTTTATTCCTTACTTTCACCCATATGGATCTTGTGTCCTCCTTTTTTGCTGTCATCCTTTTTCCATCTTGTACTAACAATGCTTCCCCACCAGCACCATCCGTCCTGTCTGTCCTTTCAAAAAGTCCCGGAGCCCTGACTATTCCCAGATTTGATCTCCTTGTAACTCTCTCCCTGTGTGGTGATGAGATCATACCCATTTTAGCTGTATTTGTGATGTTATGTCAGTAATTTTGTTCCAAACACTGAGCAATTCGAAGTAAACAGCTGTTCATTTTTCTTTTTTGATCATTTTCCCTGTATTGATCATATTTACTGCTGTTTCTCTGTGTTTGTACACTCTGCCCCTTTCTGTCCCATTCTGTGCTACTGTTATTTAAATAGATGCCCTGTAGTGCCCTCTTGCTTTGTCAGCTAACATTTCCTCCTCCCAAACCTGCCCCTCTCTAATTAGTTTAAAGCCCTCTCTACAGCTTTGTTATTCCAATTCACCAGGACACTGGCCCCAGCTCAGGTCAAGTGGAGCCCATCCCAGCCAAACCACTCCCTCCCTGCCATTGGCCCACGAACTGAAACCGTTACTGACACACTAACTTTTCAGCCACTTGTTTAACTCCTTGACTTGATTTAACCTATACCAGGGGCACAGATAGTCATCTAGAGATCATTACCTTGGAGGTTCTCATTTTAATTTAGCTCCTTTCTTGTCCTATCAATATTGTTGGTACCAATGTGCACTTTCCTCTCCCTGTCAAAGTTTCTCCCCAGTCCTGAGGAGATGTCCTTACCCTGGCACTGAGCAGCTTTCAGGACTTCCGCTGACCACTACAGAGAACAGGATTAATACCCCCTACTACAATGACATTCCTAGGTGCCCCTCCCACCTGAAATGGCTGACTGCCTTTATCAAGGTACAGTGATCCATCACTCATCCAGAGCTTGTTATTCTCACTATCGTGGACACAGATTGTCATTCTGGGGAATTGTGCAAAGGAATGCAGCAGGTGCTACGCACTAAGTCCCCCTGGAAACTTGCTGCAATTATACAGGGCCTCGGTGAGATCACCCCGTGGAATATGGTGTACAGGATTGGTCTCCTTTATCTGAGGAAGGATGTTGTGGCTACAGAGGGAGTGCAGCAGAGATTTACCAGACTGATTCCTGGGATGGCAGGACTGGGGGATGAGAAAAGATGGAATCATTATATTGAATGGAGTTTAGAACAATGAGGCGAATCTCACAGAACCTATAAAATTCTAACAGGACTAGACAGGGTAAACACAGGAAGGATGTTCCCGATGACCGGGGCATCCAGAACCAGGGAATCACTGTCTAAGGATATAGGAGAGGCCATTATGGACTGAGATGAGAAGAAATTTCTTCACCCAGAGAGTTGGGACCCTGTGGATTTCTGTGCCACAGAGAGTGGTTCAGGCCAAAACATTGAAGACTTTTAAGAAGGAGTCAGATATAGCACCAAGAGCCAAAAGGATCAAAGGATATTGGGAGAAAGTGGGAACGGGGACTGAGTTGGATGAACAGCTGTGGTCATATTGAATGGTGGAGCAGGTTTGAAGGGCTGAATGGCCTACATGTGCTCCTAGTTTCAATGTTTCTGTGTTTCGAAGATCAATAATTCACATGAAGCTGTTCGCCCAGCAGCTACAATGGGAATGCTGTGAAAAAAGGACAGCAGGCTTCATCAATCTCACCAAAGCAAAGTTATCGTACAGGACATCACCTAAATACCTTAAGGAATGTGAGTGTCACTGTCTGGGTCATCTCTAGTTGCCCCTTGAGAAGGTGGTAGTGAGCTACCTTCTTGAACCGCTGCAGCCCATGTGCTGTAGACTTAGTCAGAGTCACTGGATGGATGATGGGCATTTTCCCAAAGGTGTGCTGACATCCTGGGTTTATTTTTATTCATTTGCAGGATGTGGGTATCTCTGGCTGGGCCCAGCATTTATTATCTATCCCTAATTTCCCAGAGGGTAGTTGAAAACCGACCACATTGCTGTGGGTCTGGAGTAAAGATGGCAGTTTCCTTCCCTGAAGGACATTAGTGAACCCAATGGGTTTTACAACACAATATTACCAGTCGACCATCAACTCTCCTAGGTGTCTGTACCTCTGTTTGAGGGACACCTGACAGTGAGATGTCAAGATGGTTGAACACTGGAGCTGAGACCAGGAACACAGCCCTGATAGTCCTGCCCCTTCTGGAGGCTGCTTCTGATTGGAAGTGGACTGAGTTTGAGTCAGGGTTAGGATTAAAGATTGAGTTGGGGGAGATTTAGGGTTGGGTTTAGGAATATGGTGAAGATGAGGTTTAGAGTTAGGATGAGGGATAGGAAGAGGGTATAGGATTATTTTGAGGTTGAGGTTTAGAGTTTGGGAGAAGATCAGGGTGAGGATTAGGGTCAGGGTTAAGGTTAGGGTTAGGGTTAGGGTTAGAGTCAGGGTTAAGGTTAGGGTTAGGGTTAGAATCAGGGTTAGGGTGAGGGTTAGAGTCAGGGTTAAGGTTAGGGTTAAGGTTAGAGTCAGGGTTAAGGTTAGGATGAGGGTTAGAGTCAGGGTTAAGGTTAGGGTTAGGGTTAGGGTTAGGGTTAGGGTTAG